GGACTGGATGGGATCTCTGTACAGCTTTCTGCTGTGTGGTGGACGGGTATCCTTTGTTTTCAGTTTGAACTTCAGGTATGCCAGAATGACTGGAACAACCACAACCCAGCCAAAGGGCTTGATTGCCTGAAGACCTGGTTTCAATGTTGGCAAATTGGCCTGGAGACAAGAAGGACAATAGTTCTGTAAGCAGCAAGAGAACTGAAGACTGGTTTTCTCTGAACTTGCACCTACTGACTGACGGACTTCAATCATATTATGGGAAGGCTGTAACATTCATTTATTCCTTCTTGGACATCAAATAATCTATGTAAGATTCAGTAATTGTCTCTGTCTTTGGGAAAAATCTCTGTGTAGTTTGTCTAATTTTCTGTAACTGTCTAAGAAGGATTTGCATCGTGCCCTAGATGGTAGATCTAACATCTTATCCTGGTTTTATGTTTCTTCTCAGCCTTTCTCTCAGTGAAGGTAATAAGTCTCTCTTCTCTGACCAGCTGCCTGTTTTCATGGTAGGAATTTTTCAGTCTTTGAGGCTATGACTGCATATTAAATCTGGCTGCAACTGATGAATGGTTTTAAAATCTTTTCTGGGGGGAGGAAGGTGTAGGCAGAGTGTGCTGGCACAAGCCTTGCTTTCCTGGAATTTTAGGCCTCTGCATAGGAAGCCTATCTAAGGTTGACATGTTGTAAAAAGTGCCCAGCATAGATGCGCCTGCAAAACACTCTGACACCTATATTTCTATAGTTCTTGGCTATAGGAACACAAGCCAATCATCACTTCTGACATCTTAATTTTGTTACTTGGTTTAATATCTCTAAAGGGGACTTAACTTTGCAGAGCGCAGATGTTAGTAACTCAGAAACGGGCCTCTTAGGGGTGATCTCAAACTGAACAACTAAGCCAACTTTTACATTTCTTAAACTCTCTGGGGGCCCATTTCAAGTGTGGGTCAAGTCCTGCAAGACAGCAAAGGTCTCCTGGAAGTTGTTCAGTTCTTTCTGAACTCACTATCTTGAGGAAGGGTTAGATGGAACTGCTTTCTCATGCAAAGTAAACTGAGAAGCTTTGCCAGAATATCAATGTGAGATACAAAGGGGACCCAGTGCTCCTGTAAATAAGCACATATAAAGTAGTTCCTGTGCATCTAGGTTTGCTGTTTCCCCTTTACGGCTTCTTTGGCTCCACAGGTATGCTAGTTATGCCAACCTAAGCCTATCTGCTCCAAATCTTGCCTTTGTGCACCTAATGGTTTCAGGCTCCCTTTGCTGTACTTCTCTTGTCCTGCATTCCTTGAAAATGCCAACATTTCTGCATTCTAGCACTTGGGTGTCTGGAGAAGATTTAAGTTGTTCCTTCAAACATGCACACATTTCTGACAAGCCTAAAAGCGAGTGTAAGGATTTGGGGATCGCTCATGTGTACAAATGACTCGGAAGCAATTCGAAGTTGTCTTTCCATCCTGCAGTTAAATAAAAACAATTGCCTAGACTGAAAATGTACAGTCCCCATAAGCTCTACTGTTTAAAAATACGAAGCTCTTGGCATGATGTCATACTATGCTTGTTTCTAAATCTGGGTGTTGATTTCCACGCCAAAAGTTATATAGATGAGTCCTGTAAACACCAGCATTTGTCCCATCCTTTCTAGTTCTTCAAACTACTAAGTATTACATTTTGTCAAGAGTAGGGGGAGTTGCAATTCACCATGAACATTTTCTTCTAAAGGCGATTAAATTTTACCAGTTGTTTCACACACCACACAGGATTTTTTCACTGGCAATGTGAGGCATTTTAATCCCTGAATCGCTCTCCTTTGATCGTGTTTTAAAATTTTTACAGCTCTCTGACTTATTATATTTTACAGAATTCTTAAACTAAGATATGCGTAGAAGCAGCAGTATGCAAGCAGCTTTCAGGTGGTGTAAGATTTGGTGTAACGCCAGAGATGCTTCTGCCAGTACCGGCTGCTATTGTGGTTGATGTTGGAACCTGGCAAAAAAATATTTGGGAACTTCTTCCCCTCCAGCCCTTCTCTAATCATGGATAAGGACTCTCTGGATAGCATTTTGAGTCAGTGGTTCCCTTAAACACTACAAAGGGCTTAAAGGCCTTGCTAAAACATATCCTTAATTTTACAAGGACGAGTTTTTTTCTAAAGCGTTAGGCTTTTGACAGCTTATCATAGTTTATCAACTCCACAGAATCACAGAATCACAGAATCGTAAGGGTTGGAAGGGACCTCAGGAGATCATCTAGTCCAACCCCCCTGCTAAAGCAGGCTCACCTAGAGCATGCTACACAGGATTTCATCCAGGCGGGCTTTGAATATCTCCAGAGAAGGAGACTCCACAACCTCCCTGGGCAGCCTGTTCCAGTGCTCTGCCACCCTCAGAGTGAAGAAGTTCTTCCTCATATTCAACTGAAACCTCTCGTGTTTCAGTTTGCATCCATTGCCCCTAGTCCTGTCGCTGGACACCACTGCAAACAGACTGCTTCCGTCCTCTTGACTTCCGCCCTTAAGATATTTGTATGCGTTGATGAGATCCCCTCTCAGTCTTCTCTTCTTCAGGCTGAACAAGCCCAACTCTCTCAGCCTTTCCTCGTAGGGGAGATGCTCCAGTCCCTTTATCATCCTAGTAGCTCTCCTCTGGACTCTTTCCAGGAGTTCTTCGTCTTTCTTGAACTGGGGAGCCCAGAACTGGACACAGTACTCCAGATGGGGTCTCACCAGGGCAGAGTAGAGGGGGAGGAGAACCTCCCTCGACCTGCTGGCCACACTCCTCTTAATACACCCCAGGATACCATTGGCCTTCTTGGCAACAAGGGCACATTGCTGGCTCATGGTCAGCTTATTGCCCCCCAGGACTCCCAGGTCCCTCTCAGCAGAGGTGGCATTGCTCAAGGAACAACGTCAGGGCCGATCCTGTTCAGCATCAGCATCATCAGTTACCAGCACAAGGGGCGGAAGGCACGTCAGCTATCAGCCACTCCTCCCAGTTTTGTGTCATCAGCGAACTTGCTGAGGGTACACTCTATCCCCTCGTCCAGGTCATTGATGAACAAGTTGAACAAGACCGGGCCGAGTACCGAGCCCTGGGGAACTCCGCTAGCTACCGGCCTCCAACTGGACTCTGCCCCGCCGATCAGAACTCTCTGGGCCCTGTCATTCAGCCAGTTCCGAATCCACCTCACTGTCCACTCATCCAACCCATACTTCATGAGCTTCCTTATGAGGATGTTATGGGAAACAGTATCAAAAGCCTTGCTGAAGTCAAGGTAGACAACATCCACCGCTCTCCCTTTGTCTACCCAGCCGGTCATGCCATCATAGAAGGCTCCAACACTGTTTCTAGTAATTCTACGTGTAAAAACCACTGTCACTTTAAATTCCTCTTGTAAACAGAGAAACCATGGAATTAGATTAGTAACTTCCTGCTCTTCTCCTGTGATGTGCCCTGTCAACGCTTCTGGTAATGTATTAAGCTACACTGTGTGATTTTTCCAGTAAATCTCTTTTGCAATAATAGGTTAAAAAAAGTATATACATTAACCAAAATAAGTGGTGTAGCAAAGTGATTCCTAAATATTTGTTACTCATGTTTGCTCCAAGATGTCTGTTTCATGTAAACATCCCTCTACTATTTTCTCCCCCCCCACCCCCCCAATTAAAATCACTTTAAAAAGAATAGTATGCCATCTCCTCCTCCCTCCCAACTTTATCTCCAGTTTTCAGAATAGGCTTGAAAAACAAGTACTGCAAAAAGCTACTTCTGTTGTTCTGCAGACTAAACTGCTCTGAAAACTCCAGCAAGCAACTAGCTTTTGATCTGATAGGAACTGACCAGTACTATTGAAGCCAATGAGCTCAAATTATTCACAGCAGCTTCTCTAAACATTCAAAATATCACAAATATATATGAGCCTCTTTAGAATTAGCCATGCTGTTCACAGTGAGAGCTAAAATAAGTCTGCTTACACACATCCTCTGTGGGGGTATATATGCTGCTACTAAATTATGAAAAATATCTTGTAACTGGATAAGTTGTTACAGGTTTCATTAAAATATTTAAAAATCCATAAAATATGAATTTGAAATTCTGCTAAAATAGTGTTTTTTTTTTTTAAAAAAACTCAAGTTTGGATAACTGACTGCTTAAGATGACAACAACTGTAGCAAAACCCCAGCTTTAACCAAAATTTCTCTTAAAGAATTGTAGGACTTAAACCTAGCAGTCCACTGCACTACCTTTTCAGTCCTGCATTAACACAAAACTTTATTGATCAGATTTCTCTATTTTAGTCATATAACCTGACAACCCTGAATGCTTCTGACTTGATTAAGTGTGTGGAATATTTTTAAATAAATGTTGTAATTAGCATGAGAGTGCAGTTTTGTGAACAGCTTGAAAAAGTTACTAAAGAGCCGAGGAGTTGCCACTTCAGCAGTGGTGGGTTTTGTCATTAGATGAGGTAATTAATGTCAGTCAGCCAAAGGCTAAATAAATGTGCATGTAGCTGAAAAGACCATGTCAAGCACAGGAACTGAATCTGTATTTATTTCTGCTGGTCTGAACCTGCCTGTTCCAGACTGGTCATACCATTTCAGGAGCAAGACCAGTCAAGAGGATAACCAGGCTTTCAGGCACAGTTTGTGCTGTTGCAATCCCGAAGAGATATTATCAGGAACCTGTAACCTTGTTTGTGCTAGTTCTACCAGCATTAACAGGGGAGCGACACGCTCTCTGATGTTACCTGCAAACTTTGAGAGGGGAAACTGGTATTTGCTACTCTAATTGACCAGCGGTGCAACCCGTTCTCTCTTTCTTGGTATACTGTGGCTGTATCTCTTTCAGCTTTAATTTTACATTCAAAAATACTTTTCCCGTGAACTGTAAATCTAAGCATACATATGAGATACAGCCTAAAATGTCTTGATATTCCAAATGCTTTTATGATGTAGATTAGCAAGTTCTCAGTAAATTAAAATTTACTTTACCTACCAAATCTGGTTTTAGTTTGTAGGTCAAACGAAGGGAGTGAAGTATGGAGTACAGGGTTGTTATCACAGACGATGTCCAAGATTGTCTAACCTCGCGGCTTCTGGGAATGCGATTAAGGGTGAACTGGAAGAAAGCACAATAAGCTGAATTGTTATTTTTCTAAGAATGTTGTTGCTCCTTCTATAGGGTTATTAGATCTGTCTGTGCCAACTTTTTTTTTTTTTTTTAATCTAGTTTGGAAATGTTTGGGTATGAAACCTTTTCTTAGATGCCTTATTCACTGTTGTGCTTAGCGCTCCTGGCCATAAAGTGAAACGAAATACTAGAACTATGTATCTATTTTTTTAATCTCTTCTAATTTTACTTTAAAACATTCCTACCTTAATAAACAATTCAGCTAGGGCAGCTTAGGCTGCAGTATGTTAACGTAGTGCACCACCTCGTGGTCACCGAGACAGAAGCCTGGGTCTGATTAGATAGAATCCAAACACGGTGACTCTTGTCTCTTGCCTGTTTAAATTCTTTGTGGATTTACACTGCTGAAAATGTAACAACTTTTCTCAGATAATGTCCAGTTCGAGCTATTAAAAATGCAACAGCAAATATCACTAGCCTTTAAATGAGTACTCAATGAGTGTTCAAAAGATATGCAAGATGCATATTCAACATGCAAAATATTTGCATAAAGAAACAGGAAAGAACATCTTATGATTAAATAAAAAATAAGTTGAAGAAACTGTAAGCAGTTAGAATCATAGAATGTTTTGGGTTGGAAGGGACCCCTAGAGGCCATCTAGTCCAACCCCCCTGCAGGAGCAGGGACACCGCTAACTAGATCAGGTTGCTCAGAGCCCCGTCCAACCTGGCCTGGAATGTTCCCAGGGATGGGGCCTCCACCCCCTCTCTGGGCAACCTGTTCCAGTGTTTTACCACCCTCATTGTAAAGAATTTCTTCCTTATATCTAGTCTAAACCTACCCTGGTTTAGTTTGAGACCATTACCCCTTGTCTTGTCACAGCTGGCCCTACTAAAAAGATTTTCCCCATCTTTCCTATAGGCCCCCTTTAAGTACTGAAAGGCTGCAATCAGGTCTCCCCGCAGCCTTCTCTTCTCCAGGCTGAACAACCCCAACTCCCTCAGCCTCAGCTAACAGTAGTTAGGCTCCCCGTGCTCTTTGTGGAAGGCTTTTACCTTGACATCTAAGAAATATTGCTACATCAGAAGGCAGTCCTGACACCAATGAAATTTTTGACTGTTTAAATGAGAGACAAATATAATGGCTTCACTGTCCTGTTCATTGACATCGACATTGTTTAGATCTGGATGATGGTCACTATCTTGCTTCGTATGGGACGCCAGATCACTACCACTCTGGCAGAACTCATATTGGGAGTGAGAGACTCTAAATATCATTATAAATACTGATAATTGCCCAGTTACTTGAAATATGACAATTAGCAATAGTATACCTTAGCCCTGGTGATTTGTGACCAGGAAAGACTACATTGCCAATGGCTGTACAGTAAACACAAACTACAAATCAGTCTTGAATAGCAATAACTGGGGCTTTTGTAATATATAAGGTGGAAAGAATAAAAAAAAAACAAACCACTTATAAATGCAGAATATTAAGTTAACTTTCTTGACTGAAGTAATCCTGTTTCATTGCGATAAGGTTCTTCAATTGCAGTGATGCTGGCAGGCATTAACAGATGTTACGAATGGGTTGTTTTATGTTCTATTTGCAGGTGTTGAAACTCTGATTGCATTAGTCTGACCACAGAATATGGAAAAATAAACATGCCCCCTGCTCCCCATTCAGCAGTCTGGTTATCACTACCTCTCTATTCCTTAAAGCTTTGGAAGAGATCAGGTGATAAAAAGAAATGCCTTAAGTGGAGTTTAGACCCTCGCATAATATTCAGTTCTGCAAGAAGTATGTGTGTGATAAGGTAGTTTTAGGCCAATCAGGCTTCAGTGGAACTATTCAGGATGCTCCCTTCACTGTAAGAATGGTGTTAAACAATATTTGCCAAAAAAAGTACGTGATTTTTTTCATCATAAAAACCCGATTTCAGCAAAACTTGGCAGGGACCCGAAACAGTATCAAAGTAGAAATTTATGTGTAGAATTCAAGTAAAGAGCAAACTGATTTTATCTATGCTCTTCAAAAAACACGCTTGAAATTTGCATATTGGTGTCTTATGCCTTATGTTCGGACTTCAGCCCACCCATCAACAACACTTAAATATTAAGCTGAACAACAAATTTAAAAGCCACTGCCAGACGCTTCTGCAATGCCGGCCTCTCATCTGATGGAGTACTGTCAGTATTACAGAGAAAGGTACCTCCTGCATCTTTTGGTGGAAAACTGTATAGTATGTCTGCTGTCAGAAACAAATTGCTCCCCTGTCTTCTATGGTGCCACACTGTTGCATTTATTTTTACTTACATCTTTAGTGGAGTCAGAAACCTTTTTGTTATTCGAAGACAAAGGTTCCAAACTGGCAGTTCTGGGTTGACTGGGTATTGCAATTTCAAAACCAGTGGTGTAATCCTTTACCTGGTTAATATTGCTGGTTTACAAGCGTGCAAGGAAAAGTAGGTGGAAAATTGCCACTGCTGTGAATTATTATAATATGCTTAACTGAATATACTGCAATGCTTGCAAAGAAACTGGGTTTACATAGTTCTTTTTTCCTGCCGAGGAACAAGATTTCTTAGCATGATACCTCTCATGAAACATAAAATGGAAAAGAACATGCCGTCAGGTGAGCATTATGTGATGGTTAGTTAATCTGGCTGCTCATTTCAGACATGACAAATGGGGGTACAAGATCCAGTGAAGAATTCACGTTATTCAGCCAACAAATCTAAGCTGTCTTTCGACTGCTAGAGCAGGTCAGCAGGTTCCTGAAGCAGGTTCTCTATGCTGAGAGCAGAAGGTTCCCTGAGTAACAGCTCGGGGGAATCCATTTTGCTTCCTTTCCTTCTCGAATGCTGTAGCTTTTAGAACTAGGCTAGACCACAGATCAAAAAGAGAAATCGGTTCTATTTGTGGTTTTTTTACATTGTAATTTGTTATATGTGTACACTGATTTTCTCTTAGGTCATTATTGTAATCCGTCTTCTGTCCAGTCCTTAGATCGGGAAAAATTTACTTCCTCGACAAGATGAGGAAGGGAACGACCATGGGTTGAAGCATTCCGACTTTTCCCTTTAATTTATTCAAAGCTGCAAGAAGCAACTAATGCATGATTTTTAAATGCTTGATGATCTCCAGCATCCCCAGTGCCAAAACATGTACTACTTGAAAGCACGCTCTGAAAGTTAGCAAATATATGTTACAAGCACGTGACCTTTACTTTCCAAAATTTATCTTCCATTTTCACTCTAAATATTTTTGCTTGGTGGAAAAAGAATGGCCAAAGGAAAATGAGCATCTGTTACCCAGACAGCAAACTCAGATGCAGCCAAAAATGTTCCCCTGGCTTTCAATGTTGCAGGAAAATATAACTACACGATCTGTTAGCAGCTGGAGGGGGTACAAAAGGGAAGCTGCTTAGCAAAACTAAGTGAACTAGAGGAAAACTGCATAATCCCTGAATATTCAAAATATGTATTTTTAAGAAATTTAATAATTCCGTTTGGACATTTTTCAGATAAGTGAATATGACTCTGTGAATGGCTAATTACCAAACGAGATTTCTCTGAACAGGAAATACCTCCGGTCACTTGACTGAACTTTCATCCTTGGTGCACAATGAGAGAAGAGACTGCCACGCTAGATTTTAAACTAAGTCATCCCCTGTTTGACTCAGCAGAAGCAAGGAGCCTTTGTCTTCCAAGGTAAAAGTGGGGTAAATGAACTTAAAAAAGTCACTCCTAGGTGAGCCTGTTGCTCACCGTAGCAGCAGTTGCTTTACATTAAAAGGGTTTGTTCTGAAAATTATTGGTACTGTGTCCTACAATCTTTTATCCAGTAGCGCTGCTGAAGACAACAGAAATGCCAGAAGTGCACCATATGAAATCAATACCACGTAAATAATTAATTTACTATGTGTTGTACTACTTGCTCAAAAGGATTAAGGTTTTTGTAGTCAGAACATTCATTTCCATTGTACTTATTCCAATTTCTAAATAAAACCATAAACTTTCTACTAATTTCCCTGGACGTCAGATCACACTCTATGTCACCAGAGAGTCATACTGCTGTCTGTTAATCATACAACAAACCAGCTCAAAGCAAGAAAACATCTGATAAAAACATAAAATATTTTCAGGATTTTTTTCATGATTTTTAGGAGTTCAGCATTTGCTCAGGTCATCAACCAGAAAACTATCCGACATTAAGAGGCATCACATACTTTTTAAACGTGCAAGTAATGCTCCGTTTTAAAATCCAACCAAAACACAGTCTAGAAACACACAAAAATAATACCATTTCAATTAATATTTATTATAACGTTTTTAGATATAACTTTTTTCAAAAAAATACATTATGTCACTGAGGGAAATGCCAAACTAAAAAATGAAAGGCAATCCCCCCCCATATTTTTGCCCCAGTATTTTTATAGCTACAAATAACACCTTGATGGTACTTTGATGTAATTTTTAATTACAAAATTGAGGGATTTGTTTTCAGCATGTGTTTCCTGAGCAAGAGATAGCCTTGTTTGTACAGTCACTTTCACTACAATTATGTTCCCTTGTTGCTTTATGATTTAAATGGAATAACATGTTAACAGGAGGGAAAGACTATTTTAAGAGAAAGTAAGGAAGGTGGTAGTGAAAACTGGTAGCAAGAATGGCATTTGCTATTTTTAGGTATATTTACTTGGCATTTTGAGTGTCTCTCTAGTACTGCATTAATTAATAGTGTTTATTTAGTTCACTTTCAGAAACTTAAAAACCAGTATGTACAGAATGGTACCTTTAGCAGAATGTTAGTGGAAGTGGTTGTCATTGCCTAGAAAATCAAAAGCACCTGCTGATCTTAAAAATATCCTTTTAGAGAATCACTTCCAAATTGCCTTGAAATAGAATGTCATGTTAAGATCATTTTATCTTACAAGAGCATATTTAACAAGTTACCTGTGAATTGGAGAATGTTTTGGACCTTTTTTGTTCAAAAGAACGTATTTTAGCTTCGCTCATCTTATCTGAGTCTGCGAAAATATAATGTCTAGGAGAGTATGACTCTGACAAACAGCTAAGCAACCTCAGGATTTCTGTTGTGTGCCCACCTGTAAAAACAAAATAAACTGCAGTTAATATACCAAAAATTTTGTAATTTCTTCAGCTACATCAGTCACTTTTCCTTTTGAAACTTACTAGTACTAACATTACCAGCAACACTTTTCTGAGAGGAGTGGATTCAATTACAGAATGGTTGAGACTCATGAAGGCAATTCAACTCCCACTGAAGCGGTATGGATGGAAGTTTTTCAGTTAAATGGGACTGAACCAGGATCACACAGAAGTATGACATTTGTGTTTAACATCCCGTACACAATGCAAAAACAAGTGGGCAAAGAGCTATACCGTAGTCCATACTCAAAAGCCATACCATGGTGCAACGGTCAGAACGAAGCTGGATGGGATCTGGCTCAGAGCTGCGCCGTGGAAGCGTACCTCCCACCAACCCGACCCGGCGTTCAGTCCTACGACCGGCAAGAGCAGCGGCTGCACGAGCCCAGCTCGTAATACCGAAATCGAGCAGGCAGCAATTTCACTCTGCAGCTATGCCAGCGTAAAAGCTGAGTGCTTACAGAAGAAACAGCTCAGCTCCAGCCAAGCGCCTTAACCGCTGCCCTTGAACGGGTGGTGACAACCTTCTAACTGCAAGGTCGCTTTGTTCAGGTGGCTAAATTGGCACTAAACTGGAGAGAAGGGGAGGGTGTAACTTACTGTGATTTTTGGGGAGCAGGGTTAAATTGGGTGGGGTGTGTTTTTTTTTTTCTTTCTGGTCAGTTGAGTTTCCTGAACTGGAGTTAGAGGAATACCTGTAACAGTGGAAGAAGGGAGAGGGAAGATTGTGTGTGTAGATCAAGTGGAGCCGGCTCAGATGTTGGGCTGGATCGGCTTAATGTCAAACTGCACCCATAGGTACGTGCAGAAGCATTTACTGGATGTGTTACTTCTCACTCTGCTGGAAGTTGCAGACCAAAATAGTAAATATAAATGTATTCCTATTACCCCCTGCTGCCCAGTGCCATCAGCCTCCTAAGAGACCTTTGCTATGCAAGTCATGCACTCTTGCCCGGCAAACACACGACAAGCAGCAAGAGCTATGCTGCTGCGTTAGGCACGAGAATTTGCCACCTTTCCGCAGCATTTCACCCCGTATTTTTCAAAGATATTTGGAGGGATTTTCTCGTGAGCGATGGTTTGTTGAAGCTTTCACAAATTTTAATGCAATCACCTGAGTATTCACAGAAGAGCAGGAGATTCCTACTTCAAAAAAGTTTCAAAGAATCAGCTTGTATATTATACGAATCTTAACTGATTTATCAGTTATTTCACCTGGTAAGGTTATGTATAGTGAATGGGCCCCTCACTACAAGAAAGATGTTGCGTTGCTGGAACATGTCCAGAGGAGAGCAACCAAGCTGGTGAGGGGTCTGGAACACAAGTCATACGAGGAACGGCTGAGGGAACTGGGGTTGTTTAGTCTGGAGAAGAGGAGGCTGAGGGGAGACCTGATCGCCCTCTACAACTGCCTGAGAGGAGGCTGTAGGGAGGTGGGGGTCGGCCTCTTCTCCCTGGGAACAGATGATAGGACGAGGGGGAATGGTTTGAAGCTGCGCCAGGGCAGGCTTGGGCTAGATATTAGGAAAAACTTCTTCACCGAAAGGGTTGTCAGGCTCTGGAATGGGCTGCCCAGGGAGGTGGTCGAGTCCTCCTCCCTGGAGGTATTTAAAAGAAGGATAGATGAGGTGCTTAGGGCCAGGGTTTAGTGGTGGGATGGCAGGGTTAGGTTAAAGGTTGGACTTGATGATCTCAAAGGTCTTTTCCAACCAAAGTGATTCTATGATTCTATGAATGCATTTTTTTAATATGTACAAACTAGATTCCAAAGGACCGAAGGACAATAAGTGCATTTCCAGCCCTGGTGGAAGTAAAGATGACCTGAAAAATTATAAAACTGCCAGTCAAACTCAGATTGCAGCAAGATCCTGGGATTATTACTCAATTAGTCAGCGTGCAAAAGCCACAGGGATACTGAAGTGATGAAGTCAAAGCTTGCCTGGATTTGTCGACTGCAAATTTTTCAGGTAGTCTGATTTTTGGGAGCAAATTCATTGCCCTGCGATGCTGGGGAGGTCACGAGGAGTAGCAGGGCTGTGTCTGTCCATCCGTCTGTCCCCTTAATGTGGGGTGACACACTGGGACAGCAGTCCTGCCTCTGACAGACCCATGTGAGGGTCTCCTAAGTAAGCCCCAAAAACGTAGTTTGGGTAAAATTCCTACAAAATGTCATGTATGCAAAGGGTACACCGATCTTTGGAAAGCCTTGCCCTGAATCGCCATCAATAATTTCCTGTGAGAAGACCAAGCAGCTGCATGGTTTTGGGTTGATGTATTTATTAATGACTTTGACGAAACGCATGTGCCGCCTGAAGGAAAGGTTCGGAGACCAAACTGTCAGGCATGGATAGGGACGAAAATGCCCCAGATAAAGATTAAACCTAACAATCAAATCAAGAACGAGAAAACCCAAAGGCAGGCGGGCGGGCGACGGGCCTCCCCTCA